GTTGTTGTAGATGGACAACATGCCTTTTTTTATTGTTTATTTTATTATATGGTGTAAGGATCGAACCCAGTGCCTCACACATGCAGGGCAAGGGCTCTGCCACTGAGCTACAGCCCTAGCCCCTCCCCAGCCCTTTTTTAATTTTCTTTTTTTGTGAAAGGGTCTTGCTAAGTTGCTTAAGGCCTTGCTGAATTGCTGGGACTATTCTTGAATTTGTGATACTCCTGCCTTAGCCTCCCAAATTGCTTTGATTCCAGGTGTGCACAACCAGGCCTGGCTTTTTGCTGTCTTTTTTTTTTTTTTGGTAGTTGGGCACAATACCTTTCTTTTTATTTATTTATTTATATGTGGTGCTGAGAATCGAACCTAGGGCCTCTCACACACTAGGCGAGTACTCTACCACTGAGCCACAACCCCAGCCCTTATTTTTTTTAATTGTACAACCAGTTAGAACATAGATTCTAATAGTTATCTCCAACACTTTTTTATAACTTTATTTTATTTATAATAAAATAACTCACACATGCTAGGCAAGTACTCTACCACTGAGCCTCAACCCCAGCCCATCTTTGCTGTCATTTTAATGGTGTTTTTATGAGGGAACATTGATAAATGCATTTAGTCTATCATGTTTAACCTACACATTCATCAGCTTTCTCTTGCAGATGTTTATTAAAACACCATAGTATCTGTGCAGTGTAATACTGTGTCTGTGATTAGTAATACTCCTTTGATACAGTGTTTTCCAGATTTCCCTAACCCCAAGTATCACTTAAGGTGCTTCTTTAATACATAAAATATCAGGTCTTCTGGAAATTATCTGATTTTAGTGGGTGTGGATTTAGGGCCCACAGATTTATTTATTTATTTATTTATCTATTTATTTATATATTTAGTTAGTTGTGGTTGGATACAATACCCTTATTCATTTATTTTTATGTGGTGGTAAGGATCAGACCCAGGGCCTTACATGTGCTAGGCAAGCACTCTACCACTGAGCCATAACCCCAGCCCCCACAGATATTTTTGTGTTTGTGTTTTAAACAGATCCTTTAAATATATCTTATCTTAAGGCATATTTGAAAACCCTGATTTAAAAGAGTTCTTTCTCAACTATTAGTGACATCTCATGTTTCCATGACAAACTCCTTAGCTATCACCTAGCATTGCTTTTGTATTCAGACTCTGTTTTAGTCTGTCTAGCTTTGGTCTGCATTTCTAAATTAGGATGTGTCTTTCATCTGATTAACTCCTCTCTCTTCCCTAGTATTAAATATTGACTGATGACAATAACTTTGGCCTTGTGTGACTCCATTTTTCTGCTAAATCCCTAAATCCCCTGGTTCTTAGGATATGTGGGTGGGGAGGAAATATTAATTATGAGTATTTAGCTACTCTATATTTTGCTGCCTAAATCCAGGAATCTATTAATGCTTTTGGAAAAATGGAAAATTGACACAGGCCTTGAAAATAGATGTAATAATCATCTGCCTTGGATTTATGCAACATCTTTTTTGAAGATGTTATAGCACTGTGATTTCAAGTTGTTTTTTAGCTTTGACAATACAAAGAGGCATATTTTCTTTCCTTTTGTATTGTAGATCCTAGGATAGAAAGGAAAAATGGCTAATATCTTTTACTGCCTGTATATAAAATGTCTGGAAATGTGTTTGTAGCTTCTGCTTGGTTGCAGTGAATTGCTTGGTGATCAGGGGCTAAATGGTACTTGGTTTGGTAACGGGACAGAGGACAACTGTAGTACTCTTATCTTCAATCTTAGAAATCTTGTGGTTGTTATTAGCTAAAATTTAGCCTGAGGAAGCAATGGTGCCTTTGGCATAGAGCTGATATGCATTCTAAGATGAGCAGCCACTGAGCCACATCCCCAGCCCTTTTTATATTTCAGTTTTGGGGATAAAGAAATGCAATTTCCTAGCTGGATACAGTGATACACACCTGTAGTCCCAACTGCTTGTGGGAGCTGAGGCAGGAGGATTGCTGCAGACCAGCAGTTTTGAGACCAGTCTGGACAACATACTGAGACAGAAGGAAAGAAAGGAAGAAATGGGATTTCCTTGAGGCCAACCATTTTAGAAGTAACTACTGTTATATCTTTGGCCCCTATTTTAATGTCTTTGGGTAAATTACTTTCCTGGTTTTAGCCTCATTTGTGAAATGCAGATTAGTTACAAACTATAATAGAGGGCTGGCCTGATAGTAAGTGCTTATAATCTCAGCAATTTAGGAAGCTGAAGCAGGAGGATTGCAAGTTTGAGGCCAGCAGCCTTGGCAACTTAGACCCTGACTCCAAAAAAAAGAAGAAAAAGAACAATAGCAGCAGCAGCTGGGGTGTAATTTAGTGGTGGCGTGCCCAGGAGTTCAATCCCTAGTACCACAAAAAAAAACTATAATAGGGGGACAGCAGTATATTTGAGTGCTGTTTTGTTACTTGATAGATAACTTTTCATGTGGTAGTTATGCTCTGATCAGCTTCCATGAGTGTAACTATGGGGGACAGCTATTGTAGTTTTTGAGTGCTGTTCTACGACTTGATAAGTGGCTACCTTCTCAGGTGGTAAGTTACGCTTTTATCAGATTCCGTGAATGTGCTTATACCAGGTGTCAGTAAACGATGGCCTATGAGTCATATCTGATCCATAGCCTATTTTTATTTGGCCCTCAAACTAAGACTGGTTTTTATTTTTAAAAGATTATGAAAATCAAGAGAAGGAAAAGTCAGGCCACAGACTGGGAGAAAATATTTGCAGGAGACATATCTGATAAAGGACTGTTATCTAAAACATACAAAGAGCTCTTGAAACTGAACAATAAGAAAACAAAACAACTCAGTTTTTAAAAATGATAAATAGAAAAAAATGATAAATAGGGATTGGGTGTAGCTCAGTGGTAGAGCATGGGTTTATCATGGTAGAGCCCTAGATTTAGTCCCCAGCACACACATACAAAAAGTCAAAAGACCTAAACAGACAGCCTCACCAGAGATGATATACAGATGGCAAGTAAGCATATGAAAATATGTTTAACATCATATCATTAAGGAATTGCACGTTAAAACAAGATACCACCACACACCTTATACAACTGCCAAAATTCATACATCTTAGTGGTAGAGCACATGCTGAGTATGTGCAAGGACCTGGGTTCCATCCCCAGTGCTGGCAAAAAACAAACAAATCCTTTTTTTATGTGGTTGCAGTAGTGCTTGCCTGTATTTCCAGTAACTTGGGCTGAGGCAGGAGGTTCGCAAGTTTGAGGCCAGCTTGGGCAACTTAGCGAGACTTTGTCTAAAAAATAAAAAGGGTTGGATATGTAGCTCAGTGGTTGAGTGCCTTTGGGTTCAAACTCCAGTACTGCAGACCAGCAAACAAAGAAAAAAAGAATAGCCAAAATCCAAAACCACCCATGATGCAAAGATGTGAAGCAAAATGGTACAGCCACTTTGGAAGAAGTCTGGCAGTTTCTTACAGAATACAACATACTTTTATCATGTGATCCAACAGTCACACTGCTTAGTATTTACCCAAAGGAGTTGAAAAACCCTTCACATGGATGTTTATAGCAACTTTCTTCAGAATTGACAAAACGTAGAAGCAACCAAGATGTCATTCAGTAGGAATGGATGAGCAGACTGTAGTATATCTAAACAATGGAATATTAGTCAACACTAAAAAAGAAAAAGAGCTAAAAAATGGATGTAGTATCATGTGACTATTGTCCCAGCAACTCTGAAGCTGAGGCAGGACAATCACTTGAGCACAGGAATTAGAGATCAGCCTGGGCAATATAATGAGACCTCATCTCAAAAGAAGCTAAAAGAGATGTCAAGACATGAAGGACTCTTAAATGCCTATTACCAAATGAAAAGACAATCTGAAGATGCTCTATGGTATATGATTTCAACTATATGACATTCTAGAATCAGAAAAACTATGAAGATAGTAAAAAGATCAGTGTTGCTTAAGAATTGGAGGGATTGGCTGGGCTTATGGCTCAGTGGCAGAGTGCTTGTCTAGCACATGTGAGGTACTGGGTGTTCGATCCTCAGCACCACATAAAAATAAATAAAGGTATTATGTCTGTCTACAACTAAAAAGTTTATATATAAAAAAGAAAGAATTGGGAGGAAAACAAGATTAATAGAATATAGGATTTATAAGGCCATAAAACTTCTATATAATACTATAAGATGGTAGATGTAACTCATTGTACATTAGTCAAAACCTACTGAATGTACCATACCAAGAGTGAACCCTATGTAAATTATGGACTTTGGATGTTAATGATGTATCACTATAGAGTTATCATTTGTAACAAATGTACCTGTAGTATGGGAGGGTATTCATGTGTGGAGACAGAGGTATATGATAATTTTATGTAGTTTTTGCTCATTTTGCTGCTGAATCTAAAACTGCTTTAAAATAAAGTTTAAGCTGGCACAGCAGTGCATACCTGTATTCCCAGCAACTTGGGAGGCTGAGGCAGGAGGATCTCATGTTCAAAGCCAGCCTCAGCAACTTAGTGAGGCCCTAAGTAACTTAGTGAGACCCTGTCTCAAAAGAGCTCAGTAATTAAGCTCCCCTAGGTTCAATCCCTGGTAATAAATAAATAAATACTTATTTATTTAAAAAAAGAAGGGAATGGGCTTCGTTGTGCCTCAGAGGTAGAGAGAGTTCTTCCTCAGCATGCACAAGGCTCTGGGTTCAGTCCCCAGTACCTCAAAAAAAAAAAAACCAGAAAGAAAGGTTAACAAAACAAAGGAAAAATAATATGCAACAGAGACTGTTGCCTAAAATGTTTATTATCTGGCCTTTTATCAAGAATGTTTACCAAGCTCTGGACTATATTACATCACATCTAGAATATGAGGTGCTTAGTCTCTCTAGTGCCATGCCTAGTCCTCTAGTCCTCTTAAAGTGTGCGAGACTCCTCAGTGTCTTTAATGGTAAAGTAATTCTTATGATTATTTATTTCATTTACAGGTATATGAGTGACCTAAAGCTGCAAGTAAACACGGAGAGAGAGCAGTGCCAACAGGGAGCAGGGCAAGGATGCCAATTCCTCCTCCTCCTCCTCCCCCTCCTGGCCCTCCTCCCCCTCCCACTTTTAATCAGGTAGGTAGTCTTCTACTAGTCTATCTCCAAACCTTTAAGTAAACAGATTGATGGCCTTGGTTAAAAATTCGATTTTCCTGCCCATACCAATGTTATTTTGAGCCTGCCCTTTAATTCTGTTTTTAACATCCCAGATTTGTGGTCCTAGTATTCATAGATACTTAGGAATTCCTTGTATAGACATAGTATACTCATGACATTTGGTATGGGAAAATGGAGAACCAATATTGTCTGTCCTCATCATTTAGTCTCATGACTTCTGAAGAGGTCCATTTATTACCGTAATGGCATGTTTTATTTCCTTGTCCTGGTTCATTCTAAATGGAAATTTGAACTGGTTGCATTGGATTAGGAACTTGTGTTTCTTCCTGAACTATTTGCTTTTCAAAGGAGATTGTGTCATTTCTTTGGTATCCCTGAGAAAAGAGACAGGGATTCTTGGTGGTTGTTTCTTGCTACAAGTTCATTTTTTCCTTTTCTGCCCCGAGACAGTTCATTTTAAAGTCAAACATATCATGTACTTACACCCTATTAAGAAAGGAAGGAGCCGGCCCTGGTGGCACACACCTGTAATCCCAGTGGTTTAAAAGGCTGAGGCAGGAGGATTGCGTGTTCAAAGCCAGCCTCAGCAAAAGAGAGGTGCTAAGCAACTCAGTGAGACCTTGTCTCTAAATAAAATACAAAATAGGGCTGGGGATGTGGCTCAGTGGTTGAATGCTCCTGAGTTCAATCCCTAATACCAAAAAAAAAAGAAGGGCTGGGAATGTGGCTCACTGATAAAGCACCCCTGGCCCTGGGTTCAATTCCAAGTGCCTATCAATTAATCAATAAAATTAAATAAATAAAATTTTCTAAAAAAAGAAAGGAAGGAAGCTGGGAATGGTGGCTCAGGCCTATAATCCCAGATACTCAGGAGGTTGAGGAAGGAAGATTGAAAGTTCAAGCTCAGGATTGGGATTATGGCTCAGCGATAGAGCGCTTGCCTAGCACATGTGAGGCACTAGGTTTGATCCTCAGCACCACATAAAAATAAAGAAAGAAATAAAATAAATTGTCTCCATCTACGCTAAAATTTTTAAAAAATATTTTTTAAGTTGTTTGATGGACCCTTATTTTATATTTGCTTATTTATATGTGGTGCTGGGCATCAAACGCAGTGCCTCACACATACATGGCAAACACTGTACTGCTGAGCTATGACTCCAGCCCCTACACTAAAAATTCTTAAAAAAAAAAAAAAAGAAAGGAAGAAAGTTCAAGCCTAGCCTCCACAATTTAGTGAGATTGCTGCCTCAGAATGGAAATTAAAGATTACCTCTAGATAGGGAATAGGGGTGGGAGGGAAAAGGAGGGAGAAGGAGAATAGCAAGGATGGTGGAAGGGGATGGTCATCATTATATAAAATACATGTATGAAGATGTGAATTTGGTGTCAACATACCTTATATACAAACAGAGATATGATAAATTGTGGTATAAAGGTGTATTAAGAATTATAATGCAGGCAGGACTGGGGATGTGGCTCAAGCGGTAGCGCTCTCGCCTGGCAAGCGTGGGGCCCGGGTTCGATCCTCAGCACCACATTCAAACAAAGATGTTGTGTCTGCCAAATACTAAAAAATAAATATTAAAAAAAAAATTTCTCTCTCTCTCTCTCCCTCTCTCTCTCTCCCTCCCTCCCTCTCCCTCTCCCTGTCTTTAAAAAAAAAAAAAGAATTGTAATGCAAAAAAAAATCAATAAGAGAGCTCATGTATAATGGTATAATTTGCTGTGAGCATACTTTATATACAGAGTTATGAAAAATTGTGCTGTGAATGGATAATTATGAATGTAATGCATTCCACTATTTGTCATGTATGAAATAAAAAGAAAGAAACACAATAGGTATATCTATTAAAATGAAAGTTATTCAGTGAATATTTTTAGAAAGTTCTTAATAGACTTTCTATATACCTGATGATAAAATAAGAATTAATAGGAAATAAAATGTTGATATTTGCTAAGTTTAATAAAAAAAAAAAAGAATGAAAATTAAAAAGGGCTGGGAATGTAGTTCAGTGGTTAAACATCTTACTCTGGGTTTAGTCCTTAGTAATGGGAAAAAAGAAAGAAGCTTATGGAATAGATTGGTAAGAATACAAAGTTTCAATAATGGGAGGAAAAAAACCAGGGAGGCAGCCACTCTAACCTTACCTGGGCTGTGAAACCTCCTGGTATCACATAATAAAGAAGGAATCTGCAGCTGGATAATCTCAGTGGCTTGGGAGACTGAGACGAGGATCACAAGTTCAAGGCCAACCTTAGCAATTTAGACTCTGAGCAATTTAATGATACTCAGTCTCAAAAAGAAAAAGAGGCCAGTTGCGGTGGCGTACCCCTAAATCCCAGTGATTTGGGAGGCTGAGATGGGAGGATCGTGAGTTCAAAGCCAGCCTCAGCAACAGCAAGGCCCTTAACTCAGTGAGACCCTGCCTCTAATAAAAATACAAAAAATAGGTCTGAGGATGTGGCTCAGTGGTTGAGTGCCCCTGAGTTCAATCCCTGGTACCAAAAAAAAAAAAGAGGAAGGAATCTGTGCCTTCTCATTTTAGTAAAATTTACAAGTAAAAGTAACTTCTGACAAAAATGGTCCATAGGTATGTGTGTACATAATATATATACATATGCATATGTGTGCGCACATAATTATTTATATAATTAGGTATTTAATAGGTAAGAAATTGTGTCTTGAAGAGGAAAAGTGACTTGCTTAATTTGAGGCCAGCTTGGGTAACTTAATGAGACTCTGTCTCAAAATAGAAAGGGCTGGGGGGCTGGGGATATAGCTCAGTTGGTAGAGTGCTTGCCTCGCATGCACAAGGCTCTGGGATCAATCCCCAGCACCACACACGCAAAAAAAAGTCTGGGATACAGTTCAGGAAAAATAGGGAGTGGGAAGGGGAAAGTGACTTGTTTAATTAGATTGGTCTCAGTAGTAGGACTAGAGTGTAGGTCTGCCAACTTGTACTTATTTTCCCTGTAACCTGTGGTTTTCAGACATCTTCTTAGGATGTATATGAACTCCTTTTGAGGTGAAATTTTGTATGCAAGCCCATTAAGAGCTATTGTGGCTATAGTGGGAGGAGGAAGAGGAGGCAAAGGCCCTGAGGAGAGGTGATGCTTGAACTGAGTCTGAAGTGAGCAGATTTTAGTCAAAAATAGAAGAAAGTGACTTAAAGTCAAAGCAGAATGTGAAAGGATGGTGATTTGTGAGGAAACATACAGAGGTTTAGATTATTACTTGAGATAATGTGATAGGAGATGAAGCTAGAGAGGCTGAGGGTTTGGATTTTTCTCTTGTGATAATGGGGAGTTGTTAAAGTATTTCAACAACTGGAGCAACCTGTTCAGTTTGTATTAGAAAGGTCACTCTTACAGTGTGGAAGTGAATTGGGGGTTGGGATTCCATAAAAGACTATTGTTATTAAAAATTGAGGTTCTGGGGCTCCAATTGTAGCTTAGTAGTAGAGTGCTTGCTTAGCATGTGTGAGGCCCCGGGTTTGGTCCTCAGCACCACATAAAAATAAATAAAATAGAGGTATTGTGTCTATAACTAAAAAAAAAAAATTAAAAAATTATAACTAAAAAAATTATAACTAAAAAAAATCTGAGGGTCTGGACTAAAGCAGTGAGGATGAAGAGTGGACATGATTTAGAAAGTAAATTTTTAAAAAATTTTGTTTATTTAATTGTAGTTGGACACAACACCCCAATTTTATTTTTATGTGGTGCTGAGGATCGAACCCCAGGGCCCTCCATTGCTAGGAGGGCTAGGTGAGCCCTCCATTGCTGAGCCACAACTCCAGTCCTAGAAAGTAAAATGTTTTTTAAAAATATTTCTTTTTAGTTATAGATGGACACAATGCCTTTATTTTATTTATTTTTTTAGTGTGGTGTTGAGGATTGAACCCATTGCCACACACAAGCTAGGCAAGCACTCTACCACCATGCTACAACCCCAGCCCAGAGAGTAAAATCCATAAAGAATTTGGTGACAGAAAGAGGAAGGAGATTTGAGAGATTTGGGAGCTAGATTGATGGTTTTATTTAAAAAATAATTATGTTTGTGAAAGAGCTCAGTTTTGGACAAGTTTAATAATGTTTTCTTTACAAAAGTAATATGTTCAGCTGGGTGTAATGTATACCTATAATCCCAGGGTCTCAGAGGTTGAGGCAAGAGATTCACAAGTTAAGCCCAGACTGGGCAATTTAAAGAAGCCTTAAACAACTTAGAGACCCAGCCTCAAAATAAAAAATAAGCCAGTGTATTGGCACACACCTGTTCCCAGCAGCTCAAAAGGCTGAGGCAGGAGGATTGCAAGTTCAAAGAAAGGCTAAGCCAAAAGCAAGGTACTAAGCAACTCAGTGGGATCCTGTCTCTAAATAAAATACAAAATAGGGCTGGAAATGTGGCTCTATGGTTGTGTCCCTTGGAATTCAATCCCTGACCCCCAAAAAATAAATAAATAAAAATGAGAAATGAAAAGAGCTGGGGACTCAGCTCAGTGATAGAGCATCCCTGAGTTCAGTCCCTAGAACTGGAATCGGGGGGGGATATATTAAAAAATTTAGAAACTGTGGATAAGGAAAAAGGAATAGCCATTCATAATCCAGTCTCCCCCTTATCAGGGATTGAACTCGGGCACTCAACCACTAAACCACATTTTGTATTTTATTTAGAGACAGGGTCTCACTGAGTTGTTTAACACCTTGCCATTGCTGAGTCTGGCTTTGAACTCGAAATCCTTTTGCTTCATCCTCCTGAGCTGCTGAGATTGCAGGTGTGCACAACTCACCCAGTTTATAATCCAGTTTTCATAATGGTTTTATGTATATCTCCCCCTTCTTTTTTCCCTTCTACTTTAAAAAAAAAAAAAGAGGCTGTACATACTATACATACTGATTTCTAATCTGCTTTTTTTTTTCATTACTATATTGTGAATAGTATGAATGGCTTCTCA